CAAAACCCAATAACGAAATAAACACGTCACGCTCCAACGCCTTAGCCTACTTCCGATTGGGCTTACGCTTAAAGTCACCTTGTGAACTACCCACTCTATGAGTTGGGTCATCCTACAAGTTAAGCTAAATTGGGTTTCAGCCCATTAGTCTACAACAATCCATAAATAGGAAATTGAGATCCTATTATATTTTCTCTTCTACTAAGATTTTGAATCTTAATCAAACTAGTAAACTTAATTTGATAAAAACAAGAAATCATATTTCTTTTCTGATAAGGATTATCTCCCAAAGTAGGGCTCAGTTTCCTACAAGGATTCCAACCCCTTGGGTTCACTATATAAACAAAGGTCTACCCTCTCATAAATGATTCAATCTCGACTACTCAAAATCACTTACTTGCTCCTAAGTTCTTGATCCCGAGAATTCTACATTTTCACCATAGTCCTGGCCTACAAAAAGACTCCTAGTAATCTTTCTTTCCCTTAACTCTTATTAAATCACCTCTTTCAGTCTTGCTAACTTGAGCGTCAGAGTGCCTACGACAAACACTACCCCGGTGTTTTCCATAAGCTTCACGCTTATCTCTTCTTGTGTGCAAGTACAGAGGATTGTCATTGACATCAACCTTACTGGATCAAACCCTATTTTCGTAACCGTATATTTTTTGCATCTACACTCGTATATAAAGTTGCACCCATATGAAGTGCCAATTGATAATTTTTTTTTTCAAGAGTTCAATTTTTTTTTTTTTTTTTTTTTTATGACCAGAGTGTTTGGGGCAGCTTGTGAGCTCCTCAATTAATCCCTGAAGCCTATTGAACATCTTACAAGCTCAATGTTCCAAGGTAAGCTACAAATATTATAGGTGACCCTAAGGTGGTTCGAACCCAGGAAGTCAATGAAGGGAGGAATTCTTCTTGACCGTTAGGCCAACCCCTTTAGGGTTTTTCAAGAGTTAAATTGTGAATGCGAAAGTTGAGTTCATCATTTCCTTACAATTTTACCAAGCATTCAATGTGAAACAAACATGAAAATTGCCAATTGGTTTTAAAGTTTTAGGTTTATGTAGCAGTTTGGCTCTTTTTCAATTTTTTTATTTTACAAATTAAAAAAAAAAAATTATCTTCTTTGTGCACACTGACTAGTTTATTACATAAATAATAAGAATATGAGTAATATTATATAAATAAACTCTCTCTTACAAATTGATGTAACAACTCTACATGTTTGCACATAATCTCCTTTAAGTACTTGTATGAGCAAAAAATCGTTTTAGGCTTTATCAGGCCCAAGTATGAAACACCTACTACGTGGCCTAAGGCCATGGCCCAGTTTCAGTTGGGCCTACACTAAGATCCATGTCACAAGCCAGATCCATGACACTAACCAGCTTCTCCCAAATTGTGTCATCTAGATTGGGCCTCATCATTAGCCCACCTGAGGACAGGCCCATTGGCCCATGTTATCTACTAAGGGTCCAAAGTCTTACTCAAATCGTAAGACATCTACTTCCTATTTGATCTTTATCATAATTCACCTAAGATCCTGCATCTTATGTGAATTAGTACTCTTATTCCTCAAAAGGTAAGTAAATCAAAGACCTTCCTATTTGCTGGAGCTCTATCATTATGGACTTAGAATCCTACTAGGATTCGAAGATCCTATGACCACTATATAAAGAAAGGTCTTGTTTCACATAAAGGATTCATTATTCAATACCACCTATTAGCTCCTAAGAACTATACACCTTCATCATAGCTCTAGTATCCAATCAACTAAATAGCCTCATACTTGTTGATTAAGCGTCGGAGTGCCTATGGCAGACACCATATCGGTGTTTTATGTAAGCGCGCTTGTTCTCTTTGTGTGTGCAGGTTCAACAGATCGTCAATGCCCTCAACCTCACAAGATCATTCTGTTCTGTAGCCGTAGATTTTTACCGTCTTTAGTATTTAATTTGTTTTTAATTTCAAGTCTCTCAATCATTTTAAAACACGTTAGTTTGTATGAGAGAGTTTATATATGAAATATTATCCTAGGAATTTATATATGCAATGACTTGAAGATGGTTGGGCTTTTAAACACTGTGCTAATTAAATATAAATAAAATAAAAAAACCTCTCCATGCATTATTCTACAAATTTTACATATTAAACCTTATCCATGGATGCATGTGTATAATAATTGGAATTTGTCTAGAAATAATATCTCTTTATTTTTGCTCTCAAACAATCCCCACCTATATATGCTGGCTTGTTTTTGGTCTTGTAATTAATTTGTGGCCAATGAGGCAATGACTCTCTCTACCTTTGCTGAAATACAATTCTTGAGTAATTAATTTAGTGAAATGCAGATGATGTAATTAACAATCCGTTCTCAAATAATATGATACTATTTTAAATATTTTTTATTGATATATCTATAAACATACAATACTACCGGAAAACAAACATACGTCGATGCCTTCCTAGCGTTAGTGCGAAATCACTACATCAATGTTAGTGGCGTTGGAGTAGATGTATTCTTCCGACGCGATTATATGCAATAAGCTAGAAATTTCTTCAAATTTCTCAGTTGTCCGACATGGAATTATACTTTTCCGGCAAACTTCCACGTTGGGATAGAGTAATAATCCGGTGGTGCAATATTTTCAATGTCATTATCCTTTGTGGATTAGAAAATTAAGTATTCTTCATATTCTATCGGTTATTGCAAAAAATATATAAGAGCATGGAAATGAGTTGAAGAAGTTAAGAAAGAAGTCAGATTCCCAAAACCAAAATTCAATCTATAATCTTTATCAATGTGATGGCTATAGCTAGCCTTTGTCTTTTAATTGTAGTTGCATCAAAAACCATCCCATGTGCGTTCGACTAGCTAGTCATANAAACTCTCCATGCATTATTCTACAAATTTTAGATATTAAACCTTATCCATGGATGCATGTGTATAATAATTGGAATTTGTCCAGAAATAATGTCTATTTATTTTTGCTCTCAAACAATCCCCACCTATATATGCTGGCTTGTTTTTGGTCTTGTAATTAATTTGTGGCCAATGAGGCAATGACTCTCTTTACCTTCGCTGAAATACAATTCTTGAGTAATTAATTGAGTGAAATGCAGATGATGTAATTAAAAATCCCTTCTCAAATAATATGATACTATTTTAAATATTTTTTATTGATATATCTATAAACATACAATACTACCGGAAAACAAACATAAGTCGATGCCTTCCTAGCGTTAGTGCGAAATCACTACATCAATGTTAGTGGCGTTGAAGTAGATGTATTCTTCCGACGCGATTATATGCAATAAGCCAGAAATTTCTTCAAATATCTCAGTTGTCCGACGTGGAATTATACTTTTCCGGCGAACTTTCCACGTTGGGATAGAGTAATAATCCGGTGGTGCAATATTTTCAATGTCATTATCCTTTGTGGATTAGAAAATTAAGTATTCTTCATATTCTATCGGTTATTGCAAAAAATATATAAGAGCATGGAAATGAGTTGAAGAAGTTAAGAAAGAAGTCAGATTCCCAAAACCAAAATTCAATCTATAATCTTTATCAATGTGATGGCTATAGCTAGCCTTTGTATTTTAATTTTAGTTGCATCAAAAACCATCCCATGTGCGTTCGACTAGCTAGTCATACCAATGGCAGTCAATTATTAGGTATGTCATTTCAACATATAACCAAAAAGTAATTCATGTAAAAGACTCAAATTTGTAATTAATTAATACCCTTTAATCGGAAATTAGCAATCTTTGCAAAAATTTCAGCAATTTTCATCCATTATTTGAATTCTTCCTGTTTGGTTAATTTTCCTTTGATCTTTAAGACAACACAATTAAATGGAAATTAGTGAATTAACCGATTCATATTATTTTTATTTCTATTAATTAACAATTGATGAATGTGGGCAATGTATAGAATTCCAAAAACATAAGATTAGCAATTGAATATTCTAGTATATATGTCAAACAAAACTAGAGCAAGCCTATTTCTCCTGGATGTACAGGGTTAGCTTACCAAATTTATCATCAATAATTTGATGTTACAGAAAAGTTTCTCTCTATTTTGGCTTTCAAACAATAATATATTCTCATTTATTCTAGGGGGTCGTAATGTTTAGCAAAAGAGGCAAATACTTTCTTTTCATTACGGAATTCTAGCAACTATGAAAATAAATGTTGACATCTTAGAAGCAATGTTTGCACATGTCTCTACTACCCTTATAGGTTTCAATTATACAAATTTGCAGAGTTTTTGATTCCTAAAGTTGGTCAAAAAGATTCTCAATTCTCCCTTTATTTTTTATCACACAAATGTGAAATGTGCTTTTACTCCTGCTTGTTGAAAAAGTGAAATGCTTTCACTTGTTTCCTTAGTTTTGATTTGGTGTTTGTTTGGGTTGATGTTGTAAGTAAAAATCATAGACAATATAATAATACATACAATATTTGCTGGAACTAAATACGTGTTTATTCACCACCGATGATTTTTTCTCTTATCTATATTTATAACTAATCTCATTAGCTATTAATATAAATTTCTATATGGTAATTACTAACTTAGGATGTTATTGGATTAATATATTGTTGAATCCTCACCTACAAGCTTAAACTTTTAAGAATCTCTCCATTCAATTGGATAAAAGAATGTAAGTTGCATGTGAAAGAGCCTATTAGACTGATATCTAGTAGCTTAACTTTGAGGTATTAGCAATTTAACATGATATTGGAGATCTAAAGTGGGAATCCCCCATTCAACTGATTGAAAGAAAAATTAAAAAAAAAAAAAAAAATCCAAGTTTTATGTGAGGAAACCTATTAAACTAATATAATATTGAACCCTCACTTATTGTACTAGTAATATTATTTTTTTAATATACCATAGATTTTTATCTATATTTTTACTAACATGGAGTTTGGAGATATAAAAACCTTACAACTCATGGACTTATTCTTGCCCTGTTAACTGATTGATGGTAAAAGGGATTAATAAATGCATCATATTCGTTGTTTATAATCTTATTGTTTCATTACAAAGTTTTATTCATACAGCACACACCATACACATCTATTCACACTCAGTTGTACCTAAAACTAAACTTATCAACCCAAAATTAACTTATAGTACTGGCTGATCAATTGTATTTATTTACATACCTTCTTGTCATTTCAGCCAATAATTGTGAAGCATTTTATTTGATCCTCCATCTTCAAACATGGCTTTAATATTTCAAGAGATCAGCTAGCTAATTAAGATTCTAATTCTTCTGCTTCTGCTTTGAAATCTTTTTTGACACCTTTTTATGAGAAACCTCACAAGGTGCTTGGAACCCAATATTTTCCACAGCTCCAACTGTTTTAAACAACCTTCTCTTGTTAATTTCTTCGACCAACGATCGGTGAAGCAATTGGCTACGAATGTCTACCAGGGAACAGTTCCTCGTTAATTTTCGAGTGTCCATGGTTACCCTTTTAGATTTAGAAGAAGCAGCTCCATGAGAATGAGAATCAAGTAGAACTTTGCACTGTCTATAGGGAATACTAATATTTTCTTCAGGGCAAAATCTTGTTGAGTTTTGATGAGGTCTTGAGAATGTGACTTGTTTATGATCTGACCTACTGGGGCTGATCATATGATGATGATGCTCATCTCCAGAATAATAATTCAAGTTGGAGTATGTTCCTGAGTGTGAAGAACTTTGAGAGCTTGTATCATCAAATAAATCATCTGCAAACACCAAATAATTTCCATTTGAATTTCGGATTTGTAATTTTTCTAGCCTAATATTATGCCTTCAGCATGCATCTCTAAAAGTAGTTAAGTTAATGGCTATGTTATTGAACAAAAATGTTGCTCTAAAATATATAATGGCAGCCTCATAAGAATAATAGGTTGGTTAGAAGTAAAAGATATGTAAATGGTTTGTTTAATTTAATATAAAATTTACGAAATGTTATACTCTTTGTTGTAACTCTTGGATCTCTCTCCTGAATAAGGATAATGTTATCGTTGTACGGTAATGTAGTGACCCTAAAATGGTCATTAATTTAAAAGACATTTTAAATTAATTTTTTTTTTCATTTTATTTCGATCTCTATTATAAAGCTCATAATAGTGTGAGAGACACCTTCCTTAATATAAATGTTATAAAAATTGTTATAGAATATGTGGATTGTCAAAGTAAGGGGAAGTAAATGTATAAGTGTATAACATTGATAAAAAGACTTTTAACTAATATATACATAAATATAGTGTTAAATTTGATTCTTTCAAGAAGAGAACCTAGCCTGTAAAAGATCTTTCTTTTACATGGAATAAACCAAAAAATAATTTACGATTCAGTCTTACTCAAACCAAAACACCGTAAACGGGAAGGACAGTCAATTAATTTGTCGTGGTTCTCTTTGGGGAAAGGTTTTAGGTAAAATTATAGGCCCAGCTACAGAGTGGCTTGGACTAGGCCTATGTTTTGGGCTAAAACGTAAGGCATTGGAGAAGTTCTTAAACTCAAAATTGAGTCCAACAGATTTTAAACATTGTACATCCCCTTCATGTCTTAGCAATCTTGAGTTTTGTGATATGTAAATTGGCCCCATATGTTTGTATCTTTAAGTAATTTCAACAATTTCAAATAAGCTAATTAAATTAGCTCTTATTTAATGTGTCATTTCCCTGACTACTTTGTTGATCACAGTAAATAGAATTGTGGGCGGCATACCTTGGAGCCAATTATAGCTATGTGTGATCAAGCCTGGCAATGAAACCTGAGATGATGAACGAGATGAGTAAGAGTACAAAGGATGATTTGGCTCATCATCTTCATGATCTTTGTAATTAAATGTATGGTAAGCTTCAGAATGAGGCAAATCCCATTTCTTCCAATGTGGTACTAAAGCATAAATTTCCCCGTCAATCATTTCTGCTATTTCAGTTGGCTCCCAATCAGTTATTTCCAGCTCCTTCACCATCTCCATTGCCACTTCCAATGGTGTGTCATTTACAATATCAAAGGGAAAATATACATTCCTTCCAGAACCTAGAAGAAAACACAATTTTTACATCATCAGAATAATGTTATATATCTCAACTTGGGATACCAATATTATTAATAGAATTAAGACGTAGGGGCATACCATCTTTATCAGCAATTTGGACTTTCAGAATAAGGGTATCATCTTCAGAATTAAGTTTGCCTGTGATGGTCATATCAGTCCTTGAACGATCATCACTCAACTGCAATTTCTCCATTTCCTTTTCATTCAAAAAGGGCTTTGGAATTTGCTTTGTTTTAGACAACAATTTAGCCTCATCAGAATCCAAAAATGGATCAAGCAATAGTTCTTTTGCAGACAATCTCTTTGAGGCTGTAACCAAGCATTTCCCTATAAATCTTTGTTCTTCCGAGTCTTGAATTCTGTAAAATGCTCCCGGTAATTTCCCCTGAAACAAACAAAGTAACAAATTTAGTCATACACCTTTTCACGAGTAATACTTCATATTTACATCAAAATTAGATTTTACCGAGGTAACTTTCTTGTAAATTTGTGCTGGATTGGTACATTCACTATATGGATATTCACATGTAAGCATCTCTAAAACACACATCCCAAATGAGTACACATCAACTAGTTCATCGTAATCCTCTTCATACAATTCCGGCGCCATGAACTCCGGAGTGCCTAACAGAAATAACAGAAAGTATAACCAAAACAAAATTGGACTAAATTAGTATCCATAATTCTAACCTTTTGGTGCTAATGATTGAATGATAAATACCTATAACACTGTGAGCTGATTTTGATCCACGAAGAATTGCCGCAAGTCCTAAATCACCAATCTTCACTTGTCCAAGATGACCATTCACAAAAATGTTGTCACATTTTAGGTCTCTATGAATTACAGGAGGGTCATGGCCATGTAGATATACTAGGCCTTGCAACACTTGGCGTGCCCAACTCTTAATTGCTCGAATGTCTACTCTGTTATATTTTCTCCGGTATCTGCATCAAAACCATCAAATTTTAACCATTGCATACTCAAATTAAATACCCAATTTCATTAAATTTGATGAAGATAATCTTCGAAAGGAAAATGCTATGTACATAACATTAAGAGAAGGGTGGAAAAATGATTACTCGCGGAGAGTTCCTGAAGTAAACATTTCTGTGATGAAGTTAAAGGTCTTATGTTGTGTATCGATCCAAGAGGTGTAGAATCGAATGATGGAGTCATGTTTGAGTGTACTGAGGAGGTGAACTTCAGAGTACAAACGCTGCAAATCATCCGGTGAACGCATCACCTCATTGAGCTTAACTTGGTTCCATGCCACCTCCACTCCAAACACCTCATCAATTGCCTTGTACACTTTTTTCATTGCTCCTTTGCCAAGAACTTCATCTAACTGTTCATAGAAAATTCAAGTCTTTCATCTCATCACTCATTATCATGAATATATTTTTAATAATTGATCGACTGAACTTCACTAAGTAAATGCAACAATTATTTTATTTAACATGTCCAACAATTAGGATAAGGCTGACCGGAATTATTGAAAGTGTCTTTAGAAGTTCCTACAAGGATTTTATTATATAAGTTTGAAAAGTTGTAGCATTGTTGATCACCTAACAAATCTTGCTGCAAATTTTATGTATAACTAACTAGTGAACCTTATTGATTTGGTGATTTTTTTTTTATTTTCAAAATTTTCTAGTACAACAACCAATCACAATCAAGGCAGTTGATAAAAATAATTAATTAATACGAACAAGCTCAGAGTGGCCATTGCAATATTGCAAAGGAAAGGGACTTCCCCTATAATCAAACTTTTTGACCAATATAATTAAACATGATAAACATGACACATAAGTCCATCTACCACTCTCTGTGATTGTGAATACTTCAAATTGACATTGATTTTTATGAATAAAATACCTTGGAAAAACGTTAACCCATTACTATCTTTTTAATTAGATGTAAATCAATGATTGACATATGCTTAAATATATATGATGTTATTCATATTAAATATTATCAGTGATTAATTATCAATAACAGTCAACAAAAGTATCATTAAAAATGAATAGCAAATCAGGCAACTTGTTTCTATTTGCTACCACAAGTTCACAAATCTTTAGAAAGTAATTAAATTCATTTTCAATTGGAGAGCTAAACTAGTCATGAAGAATCATTCAAAGGTGAACCGAAACCAGTAGTTGATTCAAATAAATAGAAAAAATAAAATCCAACTACATATTATTCTTATTCTTAAAATAATAACTCAGTTTCATCAACCTCAGCACAAATATATACCTTCACAATTTGTAGGCTAAACAATATTAGATAATACCTTAAGATATTATTAAATTTTAAACAATTAAAGGATATCATATTCAGAACAGATGCATGCAAATATAACGCATATAGACATGTAAATTAATTAATCTGGAAATTAATTAAACTTACTCGACCATACCGACCAGTAGGATCGGTTTCGACGTATCCAATCTCTGCCTTGCCTTCATCAGCTTGCTTTCTGTACATCTTTAGCTCTCTTGAAAACTTTTTTATCCCCAGAAAACTTGGAAAAGAAACGAACGTAAAAATTCAAACTCAAACTATATATATAATATGTTTTTATAAGCACCTAAATGAAGAGAGGTGTATGAATAAGGAAGAGAGAAATTAAATCCGAGTCTTTCCCTCATGATTTTCATATGAGAAGACACGAAAGAGGAGCCAGAAAAGCTTAGAATAGTCAATCCTTAGGATGATCCATGCCATCTCCAGAACCGCACGTGTGAATAATTGCTGATTATATTTTACTAACATTTGATAAGGCAATGAGTAAGATGTTTTGAGTTAAAAAGGGCCGGGTTTGGTTAAAGAAAAAGTAGGATAGTTTAGGAATCTAAATACTGAAGAGGGAGTCGTCGTGATCGAACTTCAAGTATCTGTGGCCGCCCTTGTTTTGTAGCATTTTGTGGTGGTGAAATAGGCCCAAAAAAGTGAAGATTTAAAGCAAAAAATAAGAGAGAAAAGTTGGGAGAAGAATGGAATTTAGAAGAGAAAAGCAACTTTTCGGAAAATGGGTTTCAAGTTGATATATATGAAGATTAATTTTAATTAAATAAATGGAAATAGACGTATGAAGTGGGTCCTTAATAAAAGAGTTGGCAGGCATGTAAGGTGTCAAATGACGTTTATGTTTTTGGCATTTTTTGATGGGAGGGGGAAAGATTCTTCCTTGCTGTCTCAAGCTTGACTATACTGACCAAATTATCTGATTTAAGCTTTTGCAAATTCATTCGTCATTAATTTGTCTCATCGAATTTAGGAGTATACCTAATCTTGGGGGATGCAAATGTCTCGATGATAGAGGGAAAAGGTAAATTAAAATTTGACATCAAAATGTATGATACAAACTTTAAAATTATATGTATAAACTAATTATATCAGCTATTTCTTACAACTTGATATGACAATTTTACACGTTTAACATGTTTAGTTTGTTTAATTTATCTCTAATCTAAAATCATTCAATCATACTAAAATATATCAGTTTATATAAATGAGTTTATATGAGAAGTTTGTATAGTATTATACTTAGATTTAATAACATGAAATATGATAATGGTAAGGAATATTTTTAATTTAGGGACAATAATTTTGAAAAACATATTGAAAGGAGACAAGTTATAAATATACTCCCAAAAAACCACTTGTCACCTTTCACTTTAACCGAAAAAAGTTTTAAAAAAAAATTAATACTCATAAACAATGTTCTGAAAACCAGACCGGGCCTTGACCTGATTAAGGGTCTGATTCTCGGTTTGACCAGTTAGATTAAGGGTCTGATTCTTGGTTTGACCAGTTGGATCAATCAGTTGGTCCGTATCCTGTAAAAATTTTTTAGTCCCTAAATGTTTGAAATTCATCAAAAACACCCCTAAATAATTATGCATGAGTCCCTAAAGGTTGAAATATATCCAAAACACCCCTGTAACTAGGGCAGTCGCGTAAAGAGACTGGTGAGTGGTGGCAGCAACGATAATCGACGGCCAATCAAAGTTTTGAATGATGAGGCTTTTGATGTAGAGGTGACGTCGAATCTTATGGTGATGTCAAGGAGTTCTAATGGTGCCGAAATATGCCGAAATCAAGAAGGAAGGGCGACGGTCGTGTGAACAATAGGTGGACAATGACCGACGAAAGGCTGGATAGCAGCCACTGAAAATGGATGGGTTTTGTCATGGAGATGCCGACAACTCTTATGATGGTGTTATCTCCCTCGAACGATGTCGGAATCTAGCACGATTAACTCATAATTGGACCGCGATTTGGAACTATTCTAGTAGTCCAACCGTGGGTCAATCCGGTTTGATTGAGATTACCGGTTTTTAGGGGAAACCAAACCGAAGCTAACGTCAGTTCCTAGTTGAACCAGTCTGACCGGCTAGTCTGGTCCAGTTTTTAGGACACTGCTCATAAACCAATAATTAATAGGAATCAATAAAGAATTGATAGTGTTGTTGCACTTCGATACTAACGACATTGTCATTGACACATCTGAGGCACTTTCCACATCATTAAGATTGTCACATGATAGTATAATCACCTTTACGGTGCGTTTGGTTAAGAAAATGTTATATTATTGGGAATGTTTTATTAATAGGAGAATAGATTATTTTGAAGATTACTAGGAATGTTAAGGGAAATGTGTTTGGTTAGATTGGAATAAATTGGTGGGTGTGTTATATTTATATGTTAGGTTGGGAGGAATAAATTGGTGGGTATGTTATATAGATTACTGAATTACCCTTCTATTTTAATGGTATTATTATTTTAGATTGTTTTTTAACCCCCTATATTTTTTAATTTAGCTAAACACCCCCATAATAAAGTTTAAAAATTAACTAAAGCACCCCTCTCCAGCCAAGAGGACAATCGGCTACTAGCCACCACCGCCGGACGGTAGCTGGCAATCGTCAGAACGACGCACGACCTGTTAAATCCTAAATATAGCTAATATTCCTAGAGGGGGGTGAATAGGAATCAATAAAAATATTCGCGGAATAAAAACTATTAACAAAAGTAATAGCTAATGATAAGTTTAAGAAATCTATGTTCAATAAATAAACTCAACAACTAAAGAATGACAAAGTTAATGTTAATGCAAATGAGCAATAAAGATACCCAAATGAGAACAATAAATGCAATCAACTAATAAGCAATAAATATGAGCAATAGTTGAGAGAGAGAGAGAGATAAATGCTCAGAGATTTATAGTGGTTCGGAGCTGTATCCACAAGCCTCTTACATCCACTTTTTCAAGGCAACTTCCTTGAAGTTCCACTAGAATCGGATTGCGCTAAATACAATACTTTTACAAGATTTTGCCATACACACTTAGATTTACAGAATTGCACCTAGTTTTACAAGATTTCGCCACCAAGGTTTTAATCAAAGTGTTTTATGAATGATTCTCTTCTATATAGGCTTATACACACAATAAGAACAAAGACACTCTCAAAGATTTACAAAATGAGTACAAATGAGAGTATGTGATTTGGATTTTGAGCTCTAGAGATTATAGGGAATGTTCTCCAATTTCATAAGACTTTTCTCTATCCTTTAACATAAAAATGTTGAGTTTTTATTGTTAGAGTATGTGCCCTAAAGCCAATCAATTATTGTAGAATTGACTCTTTGTAATAATATTTATTAATCAATAAAAGATATTTTATTCTATATCGTGTAAATCATATCTGTATGTATTGATATATGTCCTTAGGATGGTAGAACCATGACAAGGATATCAAGTGTTTCAAATCTTGATAGTGAGAACCATGTGATCACATATGGTGGTCATTCTAAAAATGTCAGTAGCCCCAATATTATTCCAACCAAGGGCACAGATAATACGGTAAGGCTATCATAGTGTTGAAAGACCTTATCGAAAGACAGTGACTAATCTCACTTGTCAAGGTTGTTTGCCGACAACCTGGTGCAACACATGAGTGCTGATGTAGGCAAGTTCACTAGACAGACCCACCAGAAGATTCCATATAGATGGTAATCCCAGTGTCCATGGAATAAATCCTCTAACGAATGGTGGTGCATGTGATCTTTAGACTTGAGATTACCAAAGTGCCTTGTGCACTGATTGGTGTAGTTTGACACTAGCCCAATGTAGTTCTATTAAGAGCTATCAATACGGTAGTGATTGGTTGCATTGAGGAGTGTATCAAGACTATGGTGGACCGACAAAGTATTCATCACTCTCGAGTATAGGAGAAGTTATCTCACTGCACAATTCAGTAAATGGCAATTACACTAAATCTATGGCCACAGTGGGATTGAGTTGTTGCTCAATCCAATTCATTTATCCGGTCATTGGTCCAGTAACTAAATACAAAGATATTGAGAATAACTAAGGTTGACACTATTTATGTACCTCGGTCTCGATGAGATAATGTATGATGAATGGATTTGATTGCACGGTACCTATATCGTTGATAGGTACCTATTTCGCTGAATCTAAATCTATCGGATGACCATGATGCCTTGCTAGGGGCCAATCTTGGTCTGTGTAGTGAGACGATTAATTGGTATTAATCGTGATACTACTCACTGCCGATATGATAAAGAGCCTACAGGTTACACACTTAGAAGATAATTTAAGAATCAATTCATGAAAGGGGTATTTTCGTCTTTTAGGATAAAAGGGTATTTTAGTAATCTCACAGTGCTATTAAATTTGCTGAGGTTGTTGCCTGTATTTAATTTTGATATTAAAGTTAAAATTAATGAGATTATATTTAAATATATGTAGACATATATTTAAATGGATTATTATTATTAATTAAATGTTAATNTTAAGAGCTATCAATACGGTAGTGATTGGTTGCATCGAGGAGTGTATCAAGACTATGGTGGACCGATAAAAGATTTATCACTCTCGAGTATAGGAGAAAATATCTCACTGCACAATTCAGTAAATGGCAATTACACTAAATATATGGCTACAGTGGGATTGAGTTGTTGCTCAATCCAATTCATTTATCCGGTCATGGGTCCAGTAACTAAATACAAAGATATCGAGAATAACTAAGGTTGACACTATTTATGTACCTCGGCCTCGATGAGATAACATATGATGAATGGATTTGATTGCACGATACCCATATCATTGATAGGTACCTATTTCGCTGAATCTGAATCTATCAGATGGCCATGATGCCTTGCTCGAGGCCAATCTTGGTTTATGTAGTGAGACGATTAATTGGTATTAATCGTGATACTACTCACTGCTGATATGATAAGGAGCCTACGGGTCACAGACTTAGAAGATCATTTAAGAATCAATTTATGAAAGCGGTATTTTTATCTTTTAGGATAAAAGGGTATTTTAGTAATCTTACAGTGCTATTAAATTTGCTGAGGTTGTTGCCTGTATTTAATTTTGATATTAAAGTTAAAATTAATGCAATTATATTTAAATATATGTAGACATATATTTGAATGGATTATTATTATTAATTAAATGTTAATATATATATATATTAATGGATTTTAATAATAATAATAATAATAATAATTAATTAAAATTTAAAATACCAATTAAAGGGTGTTTGGTTGCAAGGGTGAATTAGGGTTGGAGCCCATGGCTATTCCTTATTGGAATAGGGTTTTAATTGTTGCACAAAAAAGTGCAACTTAAAATTAAAAACCAATGTATAACATTATTCAATTAAAAAACCCTAGCCACCTATCCCACTGTCTCCCTCTCTCGCATCCTATTCATTGATTGAAGAGAAATTTTTTTCTCTTCTTGATTCTTTGAAAATCTTTGATTCTTGAAGCCATTGTGTCGTTCTAGCAAATCGGCCTTTGGTTCTTTGGATTATCTTCGTGTGGATCAACATTCGTGCGATTCTATATTGAATCGGTAGCGAGTGAAGGAGCCTCCAAACGTGCGTAAGATTTCAATCCTTGAATGGATTAATTTTATTTTGTGCAGAATTTTTGCTTTTGACATGTAAACAATTTAAGCTATACCCGAATCTTAGCATTAAGGG